ATCTCATAAGATTGGTTTTAAGTTACCAAACAGGCTGAACTGCCAACTGAAACAGGTCACCCTAAAATACAGCCTCTCTGTAGGCCAGACCAATGATATCGTTTTATTGGTAGATGTCTCACAGTCCAAGGACAATCTTTAGCTGTCAGCATAGGTTTGGAAGAGAGAAGGTACATTATCACATGTGTCACTGAATATTTTTGCTATTTGTCAACTATAATTTTGTAGAAATACCCATTAGCCTACTTGTCTGCCTCCCTCTTTCTTTTCATCTTTAATTTCATTCTCATACCCAAGGGACTTTTGTGTGTGACTGTTCATAGTTAGCAATCAATATAAAAGAAACTATTCTGTTAAATCATATAAAAATTGACAGTATTTTACCATTTCTGACCTACAGAATCAGCAAGTTTTTGTAGTTTAACATATGACATAGGAGACATTCACAGACAGCAGTTCAGAGATATTTGTCATTACTGAGAGGTTTCTAAATACAATAGCTCATCCATTTGAGCTTCTGCCAGCTCCGTGGGGTTTTATGTAGCCAGTTCCATATGAAGACCTTCATTTGATCAACTATGTGTACAATATTGTCTTTTTTAAAAAACTCAGTGAACTTATTGCACATTTATTATGGGCTAGGCACCATTTTCAGCCTTGGATACAAAGATGCGTGCATCACAGTCCCTACTTTGCAGAGCATGCAATCGAAGAAGGGAGACAGGCATGGACATAATTATAGTGCAAAATAAAAAGTAACATAATAGATACAAATAACATGCTGAAAAGGCACTTACCACGCCTGGCAGAGCAAGAAGACCTCTGAGCAGGTGACATTTGTGCTAGTTCTTGAAGGATGAGCAATTTTCTAGGCAGAAAAGAGAGGAACAATACAACATCACCAAGCAGAATGACTTGTTCAAAGTCACAGAAGCACAACAAAGAAGGATGTGCTTGAAGAACCTTAGTTTGAATATAGATGGGACGCGAGGCAAAAGTGAGAGAAGCAGCAAGAGGGGAGGCTTGGATGGAGGGAAGATTAGGTTATGAAGGGCTTTTCATGGGGGAGGGGGCTGAGAAGTTTGCATTCTCTTCTGCAGGTAGAGAGGAGTCACAAAACAGATACAGGTCTAAATCACTTGGATGTAAAACTGCTTTTTCTGCTTCGAACTCATATGTCCAGCCCAGTCATCACCTAACTGTAAAGAAACCTTACATTAATGATCCCAGAGTACCAGCTTCTGCAGTGTGAGTTCTTTCTGACACCCCCCTGGCACACATGTGAGTCCAAGCATCCTGGATTCCCAAGGGGTTGTTTCAGCCCTGACATCTCTCTTAAACATAGTCATTGAGCTGTGGTTCCTCACTGTGGCTGGAAGCATAGCCAAAGACTGCATTATTGTGAGAGATTGTGGCTTTGACAGTTACGTGTTCCTCCACTACAGGGCTCTCTGCTTCACTTGGGTGAAGGAGCTTGCAAGCACAGCCTTCGTGTTTTCATATTTTCCTCATTGGGTAATTGCAAAATGGGTGAATCCACCTAAATGCAGCAAGATTGATTTCATCCCAACTGCAGACTGGCTAATCAGTGGCCTAGTTTTCCAGCCATGTGATCTGGCATCTGGCACTCACTACTCATCAAATGAAATTACACAGCACCGATAAATTACCCACTCTCTTCTGGGCAGAACTTTTTCCCTTAAGCTACCTCCTGCTTAACACTTGTGTAATGTTTATTAGTACCATGGTTTATCTATACCAGGATGCCGGCTGGAATGTATGGAAACTTTACTAAGAATGGAGAATTTTATATATGTGTGTATGTGTGTGTGTGTATATGTGTGCATATAAATTATACATAGATAGACACCTGTTTATGTATTAATATATATGTGAATATGTGTGAATGAGTTATCCCATTTATGTGAATTTTCCACATGACGATCACACATTTTTGTTTTGTTTTACTTAAGTCCTTATGGAAATGTTTCTGAGAGAGTTGGAGGCGAAATTCTGCTCTGTTTGAATGCTTCTTCACCTCCAAGCTTTCTGTTCTTGGGCAGGAGACAGTCTCTCTCTGAATCTTAGGTTTCTCAATTGTAAAATGAGAATAGTAGTAAATACCTCATAAGTTGATATGTGAATTAAGTAGGGTGTGTGCGTGTGTGTGTGTGTGTAAGGCGTTTGGTATGCAGAGAACATCCAAGAAATGCCAACAATTAATACTTTATGCCTGTTAGAATTGGTCCTGAAATATTGGGGCCTTCATCAGTAGCAGTAATCATTGCAGGAAAACTAATAATGGCACCCTCAGGGACTTTTAAGAGCCAGAAAGTTATTTGCCCTGCACTAGGTGACCACAGACTGCCAGGCTTTTCCCCAGCCCTGTCTGGTGTTTTAGTGTTGCTGTAGCATCCCTTGTTTTCAGATTGTGGATTGTCACATTCTGAAATCAATAGTATGTATAGGAGCCCAGCAGCTTTCTTCCTCCCTTCGTGATTCACTGACAAATCAAATCATCCAACTTGCTAAAATTCCATCTAAAGCAGGATATTAAAAGCTCTGATGGAACACCCAAGTCTGTGCTTCAGTGTCTGCACTATATACTATTTTAGCCACTCAAAGACCTTTTCTGCCCATTTCGAGATTATCAGCTATGGAGGACAAATAATGCATGAGCTCATGTTTGGAAACTAAGAAGCAGAGACTAGAATGGTGATTGCCAGAGGCTGGTGGGAGGGGGAAATAAGGAGATGTTGGTTGAAGGGTACAGAGTTTCAGTTATATATATTAGATTCGGTGTCAGTTATATATGATGAGTCAGTTCTAGGGATCTAACATGCAGCTGCATGACTGTTGTTAATGATTTGTTTAGTCGCTCAGTCGTGTCTGACTCTTTTGTGACCCATGCACTGTATAGCTTGTCAGACTCCTCTGTCCGTGGAATTCTTCAGGCAAGAATACTGGAGTGGGTTACCATTTCGATACTCTATTGTATACTTGAAATTTGCTAAGAGAGCAGATCTGGTTAATTAGCTTGATTATGGTGATTATTTTGCAATCTATACATATGTCATAACCTCAAGTTGTACATCTTCAATATATATAACTTTTTTGCCAATTATACTTTAATAAAACCTGGGAGGGCATAAAAGAAACTATAATTTAATATAATAAATTAAAACTGTGACTTAATTTTTAAAAGATTATCTGCTATGTCTATGATAGATGATATTGCTATCAAGCGACCTCAAGAAAAGTGAGAGGATACTTATATCATTTTACATTTGTATCTGAGTGATACTGGTCTTTAAAAGTCCATATCCTTAGTGATTCAGGAAGGAAATAATTGTACCACCTCCTTTTAAAGACAAAATATGGCATATAAATAAAAATATCTATGTAAAGTTTTTATGGTTTTAAAAAACTATGAAAGCATTATGCTAACTCAGCCTATCAAGAAGCAAAATTGGCTCCATAATCCAAATAGCATTTATTACATTGCTTGATTTTTTGGTGTGATTTTTAAACAAGTAAATTCTCATGGGTCTTATTCTGCTTCTCTTCATGAAAACTCTGTATAAGGGAGATCAGAACTGCCGTGTTGTAGTTTATGTGAAACGCACCCCCTGAAGTTGTGCAGGAAAGTGGTCCCAAGTGGGACTGCCTTTATAATAGCTTTGAGTAATTTGGTTTTTTAGGGAGTTTTTGGTGCTTCAGTAGCCAAACCATCAGTATCCAAGATAAATACATTAATCGCCCATTCATTCCCCTCACTGTGAATGTTTGTTAGCAACATACATTCTAATTTAGAGAATAATTTTTCCAATAATTCTATGCCTTTTTTGTCACTTCAAATATTATAAACTTGGTTCTACAAAATAAGTCCTAGACCTCAACTGATTCTCCCTTTTGGCGCATAAACAGCACTACATTCTTTGTTGTTGTTGTTTAGCTGCTAAATCGTGTCCTCCTCTTTGCAACCCCATGGACTAGATTTTTTGTGACCCTAAGGATTATAGCCCACCAGGTTACTCTGTCCATGGGATTTCCCAAGAAAAAACACTGGAGTGGGGTGCTGTTTCCTTCTTGAGGGGATCTTCCTGATCCAAAGATTTAACCTGGGTCTCCTGTGTTTCAGGCAGATTCTTTACCACTGAGCCACCTGAGAAGCCCAAGTAGGCTATATTTGAAACAAAATATTCCTCTTATCTTACCTCTCAGTTATGTTCCTTCTTCTAGTCAATCTCCTCCCCCAACACACACACACACACACACACACATACATACATACATACATACATACATACACACACACACACATATACATGCACCACAGATTCCCAAACAGTGCACATTGGCTGTGGACATTTACACATCTTACTCCTTCCCTTTGGAAAGCCTTATACCTGCTTCCTTCCCTGGCAAATTTTGATGTTTCCATTAGAGCTCAAGTGAAATGACCAGTCACACCCTTTTGAAACTTTCTCTGTCCAGTATGCTGGCCTCCTCCCATGTGTTTTTATAGCACCTTGCTCTTCACTCTGCCTTAGCCCTTAGACACTTCCATGCCAGCAGTTGCGCTGGAAACTCCTTAAAGACATGACCCTTTAAATCTCTTTTGTATTCATCTTGTCCGGCACATAGCAGGTTCTCAATACTTGGTGAATGATTTCATGAATTTCATTCCCCGCTAATGAAAAACTTCACTGTACTTCCAACTGATTTAGCAGATCGTGACCTATTAATTTTGAAGTTCAATACACTTCTGATTATCTTATCAAATGACTGAAAATGTAAACATTTGAGAATTTCAGTGTGAACACTTGGGCAAGGGGAAAAGTTTAGGGGTCTTAACCTAGTTTTCCTTTCTCATTATAAAACATCTTGATTTCTTCAGGTAAAGAAGCTTCCCCAGGTGGGCATTGACATGATAGCACAACAGAGCACTGAATGTCAATTGCAATTCTTTTTTTTTTTTTCTTTTTTAATATTTTCAGGTTACAAATGCAGCAGCCAACTCACTCGGTCAAATGACTCTTCATCTCCAGCCTTTTCTTGTGTGTGGAGGGGATGGATTTACTCAGTCCAACTTTGACGGCTGCATCACTTCTGCCTTATGTGTTCTGGAAGCTTTAAAGAATCATATATAGTACTGCCTGTATTGTTATTTTTCACATGTACTTTGGGGGTTTTGTTTTCACAATTTTCTGTCATTGATTATTTTGTTTTCTATTTTGTTGAGAGAAATTACTGGAAAAATTGTTCTTTACTGATTGTTATTTTTCACGTGGAGTATAAAATCAATGTTATAATTTCAGTAGTTACAATTCCTAAAAGAATGAAAATTCCTTGTACTTTATACCTCTCCACTTTTCTGAATCACCATATCTACCCACTCCTAGTTGGAGGCAAAGTAGTGTTTAAGAAAAAACAAATAGCTCTCCCCCCAAATTATGTCAAATCCAAGTAACAGTTCATATTCACTGACCTTTGTTGTCCTTTTGAAAATTTCGGTCCCAAATAAAGAATAATTATTATCAAGACATTGTGATAAATCTTCAAGTATATCCTTGATTTGATATTTTTGCAAATTGCTGAACTGCGATATTTCTCCAAACTGTGGAAACAAAGGGTAATTTTTGTTTCTCATTTCTCTTCCAAGTTATTAAGTGCTCCCGAATTGTAGGTCACATATGTCATCATCTCTAAGAACACAATTTGGAGGGCAACTTGACTGACAAAGAAATGCCTCTTCAAATTTTCAGAAAATAACCAGATTCAACTTGACTTCCCAAGTCACACAGTACTTTTTAACCTTAAAAAAACCAGCCTTAATGGGAAAGATAAAAATTAAATAGAAGCTGAGAGAAATTATATTGATCTTTACCTTGTGCTATCTCCCGTGGCTAGTGCTGTTACTTTTATGCCCTCTCCAGTGTGTGCTGTGGCATTTAGACTGTGTCAAGTTTAATGAATTTAATACAAAAAAAATTTACTGAACCAGAAAATAGATGCACTTAAAATAGTTCAATATTTGCCAACTTAGCGGTTCAGCATATCACCCACATGCATCAGTGACAACCCATGACTTGCTGGCTCAAGAGAAATTGATCCCCAGCCTTCTGAACAAGGTACTTGTTGCTAATTTGGAAAGCAAACTGGTGAGTTCCCTTTTGTCATTTTGAAAGGAAAGAAATCGTCACAGCCTCTCACATCATTGCAGTCTCTCAAACTAAGAAAAGTTTCACAAAAGACCCCTTAGCTTGGTGGTATTTAAAATCTCACACTGACATGCCCACTATCAGGCATACACAGGCATGGGCAGACCTTGTTTACGTAACTACAAAGTGGGGTTTTTTTTCTATGGAATGGTCTTATACATCTCCTACTTGCAATCAATTGATGTAAAACTGAAATGCCTACGTATGGTTAATGTCAGTTATTTTTGAAAATATAGAAAGGAAAAGGGAAATTAATGTGATCTGTTTTATGATACAAGGAAAAATATTGAGATTTCTTTCATCATTTTGGCCTATATTTGATGAACATTTGTCTTTATTTTGGTTATACCCTTAAAATATGGTAGCAAATATATCCAATATATTAACTATTTTGTTTTTAACTAATATAATTCTGGAGCCATCTGACTGAAAGCATCCTAAAGCTTTAAAGCAATGTTATATTTGTTTCATGAGTGTATATATTCCAAAGAAGAAAAAAATATTTATAAAAGTGGGACGTGTTGCTTAGAGAAAGTATGCTAAGCCATTACAGACGAGTTATTTTTTATTTAAAATATTTTTTAATGTGAGCCATTTTTGAAAGTCCTTTATTGAATTTGTCATGATATTCTTTATGCTTTATGTTCTGCTTTATGTTTTGTCCATGAGGCATGTGGGATCTTAGCTCCCTGATCAGGGATCAAACTCACACCCCCTTCATTGGAAGGTGAAGTCTTAACCACTGTACCACCAGAGAATCCCACTGATAAGTTTTAATATCTGTTCATTCAAAATGCGTTTCCCTAATAATTGTGCATCTGCTTAGAAAAGACTGTAGCAATATGAGAAAAGATATATAACCCTGCTTAGTATGTAGGTCATTGTTACTTTGCTGATTTAATCATTTGAAAACTCATTTTACATTTTGATCCATGTCTGATAGAAACAGACCAATTCCCTGATGCTCAAATAAGGAAAGAAAATGTATCAAAAGCTTGTGTTCTCTATCTTTATTTACCTCTTCCTCTTGAGAAATTTAAATAGATATGGGACTGTCTTGTGCTAGAAGCCATCCCAGAGGCCATGAGATTCAGATGGCCGGATGCCCTAAAAGACCCAGGGCAAAGGTAGCCAAGTCCCCTGAGAAATATGGGTCAGTACCTTTGGGAAAAGGGTGTATGTATGTCGGCTCCCACAGGACCACACAGCACCACAGTACTTCCAAACAAGAACTTTTATTAATCAAACACAGTCAAGGAAATCTGCTCTGTTTTGAAAGGAGCATATTCAAGTGAGAAACGGCTTGAGCAGCGGGGTGATTTAATACTTGTTAGCTGATAAATATAGCCTTTGCTGGAATAAAACTATACGATGCAGGGTTGAAAAGCTTAATTACTAAACTGTCTATGCACGTCTTGCTCAGGCAGCGAGGGTGACAAATTATAGCAGTCGAGTAGTATTTTTCACCTTTGGCATTTCTGAAGGGGAGAAGTATGTCTAAAAACATCGAGAAAGCAGTAATAATCCCAGACCAGATATTACTGAGGGGGAAAAAAAGACATATTATTGAGTCACCAAGTCTTCTGTGCAAAATGCCATCAGCCCCACCCCTACGCCTACTTGGTACCTTGTTAAGTAAAAAGAACAAGGTCAATTTTACATTTATAAACCCTGCTTAGTATGTAGGTCATTGTTACTTTGCTGATTTAATCATTTGAAAACTCATTTTACATTTTGATCCATGTCTGATAGAAACAGACCAATTCCCTGATGCTCAAATAAGGAAAGAAAATGTATCAAAAGCTTGTGTTCTCTATCTTTATTTACCTCTTCCTCTTGAGAAATTTAAATAGATATGGGACTGTCTTGTGCTAGAAGCCATCCCAGAGGCCATGAGATTCAGATGGCCGGATGCCCTAAAAGACCCAGGGCAAAGGTAGCCGAGTCCCCTGAGAAATACGGGTCAGTACCTTTGGGAAAAGGGTGTATGTATGTCGGCTCCCACAGGACCACACAGCACCACAGTACTTCCAAACAAGAACTTTTATTAATCAAACACAGTCAAGGAAATCTGCTCTGTTTTGAAAGGAGCATATTCAAGTGAGAAACGGCTTGAGCAGCGGGGTGATTTAATACTTGTTAGCTGATAAATATAGCCTTTGCTGGAATAAAACTATACGATGCAGGGTTGAAAAGCTTAATTACTAAACTGTCTATGCACGTCTTGCTCAGGCAGCGAGGGTGACAAATTATAGCAGTCGAGTAGTATTTTTCACCTTTGGCATTTCTGAAGGGGAGAAGTATGTCTAAAAACATCGAGAAAGCAGTAATAATCCCAGACCAGATATTACTGAGGGGGAAAAAAAGACATATTATTGAGTCACCAAGTCTTCTGTGCAAAATGCCATCAGCCCCACCCCTACGCCTACTTGGTACCTTGTTAAGTAAAAAGAACAAGGTCAATTTTACATTTATTTGATATTTTATTCTCATCCAAGTATATGTGCATGTGTGTGTATATATATATGCTTCGTGCTCTGCTCAGTTGCTTGGTTGTGTCCAACTCTTTTGTGACCCCATGGACTGTAGCCCACAAGGCTTCTCTGTCCATGGGATTTCCCAAGCAAGAATACTGGAGTGGGTTGCCATTTCCTACTCCAAGGGAATCTTCCCGACCCAGGGACAGAGCCCGCATCTTTTTGTATCTCCTGCATTGGCAGATGGATTCTTTACCACTGCACCACCTGGGAAGCACAATATATATAAATTCTGGCGTTACTTTTGAAAACCCAGATATTGATTCTCCCATCAGCTTGAATAAAAAGCAGCATTGACTGCTTTATATTTTAGAAAAAAGATTATATATAAATAAAACATATATATGTATATTTCAAGTACATCTGTATATATATGTATTTTTTTCCATCCTCTTAATATCTTGTAAAATAAACAGAGCAAGGAATTATTATTCACATTTGACAAATGAGGAAACTGAGGCCCAGAGCTTGGCCAGACAAGGTCACATCATCAAATGCAGGACAAGAACTCAGGCCTCCCATGACCCATTTCTGTTTACGTGGCACCACGCTGCTACCAGATGAGCATGATAATTAAAGCTGAACTGAACGTTGGTTGGAGGTGCAGTCAGCACCATGTGGTCCCCTTACTAATGTTTCTTCTCAGAGAGCTAACACTAATCCTGATGTGATGTATACAGGAGTCTAATACGGAATATAGTCTCTGTAGGTACTGACTAAATGATTTACATCCCGTTATTTTCATTTGCTGGTTTATTTCCTTCTTTGGGGGGCACTTGCTGTGAGAAATGGTTGCATCCTAATGACACTGAATTTCAACCCAGCAGTAGCTGGTTAGCAAACAGGCTCCCTCTGCATTCAGCCTTTCCTTCTGTACTCCTCTTTGTCTCTCCATTCCTTTTGTTTCATTCTGTCCTCTTTTCAGTTCCTACCATCACTTTCTCCCCTCCTATTTTTTTTCCCTCCCACTTCTTACCCTGTGTCCAATTCTCCAGTCTCAGAAATCGGGAATATAAATATAACCACATTATGATTCATAGCATTTGTAATTTTTTGCTTTAATATAATCTCTTTTTTCTACAATTCAAAGCAGTCAATCCTGCTTTTTATTCAAATTGACAGGATAGCCATTATCTTGATTTTTCCAAAATAATGCCAGAATTTAAAACTGTAGCTTTCAAAGATCTCAGTGCTAATAACCTAAAATATGGTACCAGGCTCTGTGGTGGACATAATGGAATATAATTAGCCATCTCCACCTAAGATGCGAGTTAGGGGAAGACAAGTTCCGTAGAGTGGGAGGCAGTAATCACAGGCAGTAGATAAATACTGGGAATCCTAAGAGGAAGAACCATGTTTCCTCTCGAGAGAGGGGGTCTCCAAACAGAAGCAGGGATCCATCAGGAAAACAATTCTGGCAAAATCCCTCTGCTCCACACCATAATTGGGCAGCCCTGGCTGCCTTTAGGAATCCAAAGTGTGTGTCAGAGTGGTCGGGAGAGTGAGTGCTTTCTGTGGAGAAGGCTCAGTAAAACACAGAACGTGGTCTCTGGGAAAAGGAAGGAGGAGCCTCAACCAATCTCAGACTAGCTGGTGCAGGACTGAGTTGCTGTATCCTCTCTGGAATATCCTTGTGTTTCAGCCAATATCATCTGGCCAGGTAAGCCAGGAATGGTTGAAATGGTACTATGTCCTGTGTTTTCTTCTCAACAGACAGAAATTATAGTCTACTTAAGAGTTCACAGCAGAATCTATCAAATGTGCCTGCTAAGGAGAAAGAATT